AAAAATAAAACTGAGCAAAAGGGAAGTTACCCATGAGTAACTTGGAAATCTAAGAGACAAAATATAAAAACAAATAAAAATTCTAGAAATAAAAAGTATGACTGAAATCGTAACATAAATACTGCAGAAATTCAAAGGCATATTTCAGCAAATAGTAGAAACAATCAGTAAACTAACATGGGCCAAAAGAAATCACAAAGGTGGATAATTACTTCATCACTGACCACAGTGAGGGAAGCAATGCCCAGGGCCAAGGGCCAGACACAGGGCACTTGATCCTCAAGTTCAGAGGGGTGGTGTTCTTCACCCTCAAGGAAAGCATGGACAGAGAAAGGATCCCCAACTTTTCTGGTGAGGATGCCTTGAGACAGGTACCCTGGCCTCAGTGTCCTCACAAGGGTTGATTGTTGACAATTGTTTCACAAGCAGCCAGCAGGTCCTCAGGCCTGCAGTTTGTGGTCCTGAGTGCTGAAGAGATCACACACAGTGGCCTCTCCGTGCCTCATGGTGGAGTAGGGAGTCCAGAGCAGAGCACACTGGGATTTTAGACAAGACTGCCCTCAAGACTGTGCCCCGGCTGGGAAGGTAGCTCAGTGGTAGAGTGCTTGCCTTGCATGCATGAAGCCCTGGGTTCGATTCCTCAGCACCACATAAGCAAAAAAAAAGCCAGAAGTGGCGCTGTGGCTCAAGTGGCAGAGTGCTAGCCTTGAGCTGAAGAGCTGAGGGATAGCTCTGAGGCCCAGAGTTCAGACTCCATGACTGGCAAAAAAAAAAAAAAGACTGTGTCCCAGCAGCCCAACTTCAAGGAATACTGGCGGTCACTGTTATTCTCCGCACAGGGTGTGGTTGAGGTCACAAGCAATGCCCCCTCCTTGCCTTACAGAAGAATGAGGACAAACAGCAGGGCAAGTATGATTTCAGATAGAGATACCTGGGAACTAGCACTCTGGCAGCAGTGACCTCAAGACAGTTTCTATGGCTGCACTGGTGATGCAATCAGCCTGCAGCCCCAAGGGACCTCTTGTGGCAGTGCAGGCCTAGGCCCCAGGCACCTGAGGATGCACAGGATGCCCACAGCCAGGCTCAGAGGTTAGGGGAGAGAGCAAGACTCCAGGAAATTTGAGAAATGGTGCAGCTGTGTCAATTCTTGGGTAACAGCTGCTAATGGAGATAGCTGGTGATGTATGGAAGCAGCCCTCAGCCCCACAGTACCACCACGTGGTCACACCAGGCCTGAGCCACATGTGGTGAGGTCAAAGGGCATGGCCACACAAGGTGGCAGGGAGTGAAATGGGGCCCGGAGTCATCAAACATGACCACCTAATGGGCAGAGCCCTTTCAGCAGCAGTGTCCCCTTGGCAGCTGTGGCAACAAGGGCAATGGCAGCCTCCCTCAGGGCCCAGGGCCCACTGCTCCCCCAAAAGACCATGTCCACATACGGACATGGTGCAAGGAGTGAACGGGGCCCAAGCCATCAGCTATGGCCCCTCACAGGCAGCACCCAGGCGGCAGTGGTGACCCCTCCACAGCTACGACAAGGTCAGTGCCATCAGCACTCAGTCCCAAGGACCCACAGCTCCCGCAATGACGCCCTTACTCCAGCTTCTGTAGGTGTCACTGGCGGTGGCTGTGCCAAGAGTAAGAGTGGGATGCTGAGAGACTAAAGACTGGGTCACAGCCAGGTTGGCACTTGAGAAAAGTAGAGGAGATATCCAAGCCAAGCTGCCAGACGGGCAGTCGAGTGAACCTAGGCGCTGCAAGTCAAGCCTACATTGATGTCATTCTACTCTTTCTCTAAGTTTAACATGATGGCCTTCTTTTCTGTTTTCCTAATCACAACACATATCTTAACTACTACCACTTACTCTACCTCACATGCATCCTAACAAGTACCTCATATGTATGGAACCATAACACATGGCTTAATCCTAACCTGTACCCTCATACATGCCCTTACCCTAACACGTAACTTAACCCTAACACATAGCCTCACGCTTCATATATATCCTAAGTATCCTAACCACCAACATGTCATCAACAAGTACCTGAACAAGTACTCTAAACCTAACATGCACTCTAATGGTTTCCTCATTCTACCTTCAAACTACCATCTTCACAACTCATCCTCCTGTGAAGGTAGGATTAAGAGTTTGAATAGCTGGATGCTGGTATCTCACGTCTGTAATCCTAGCTATTCATGAGGCTGAGATCTGAGGATCATGGTTCAAAGCCAGCCTAGGCAGGAAAATCTGTGAGACTCTCTTTTCCAATAAACCACCAGAAAACCAGAAGTGGTACTGTGGCTCAAGTGGTGTAGGTAGCACTTCCTTGAGCTGAAGAGCTGCAGAACAGCACCTAGGCCCAGAATTCAAGCTCTACAACCAAAAAAAAAAAAAAAGTTTTAGTAAATAAAGCCAGGTAAGGAAATTATTTTGAACTGGAGCTCTAGGTAGCCCTCACCTCTCAGGATGCATCCAACTGAAGGATCCTTGGAAGGCAACAGGATTGAAAGATTAAAAATTAGAGTTACATTTTACAATTGCTAACTGCAGGTTTTGCTTCTGTAAACTTGCTTGCGCTAGCACTGACCCTTCCCCTCCCTGGAAATAAATAAAAAAGTTTGGGAGCCTAGATGTCCGCCCTGGGACAAGCTCTGTAGTCGTAAATAAAGAACTAACAAGTAAATTCCCCAGGTGGCCAAATGGGACCCAAGATAAGGAACAAAGAGTATGTTCCTCCACATTCCTGTGTAAAAAATTCTCGGTTTAGGGGGCTCAAGATAAGGACCATCTGGTGAGCCCAACAAATTAGGCCAAATGTTAATTAATCACAAGTCTGTAACTCCCTAAACTCCCTAACCCTTATCTCCCAGAGTGACTATCTCCATTTGACCATACTCGCCAATTGTTTTATTACAAAGAGTGTTATAAACTTCCCCGTGTAGCAAACTGAGCCAATCCTGGGGAACCTGGGGTCTTATGCTAATCCTGTGGCTTTTGTCTTTAAAAGTGCCTGTAACCAATAGCTAGGATATGGAAACAACCTAGATGCCCCACCACAGATGAATGGATCCAAAAATTGTGGTATCTATACACAATGGAATATTATGCAGCCATTAGAAATGACAAAATAATGGCATTTGCAGGGAAATGGATGGAGCTAGAAGGAATCATGTTGAGCGAGGTAAGCCAAGAACAAAGAGACAAACGGTACATGGTCTCCCTGATAAGTGGATGCTAAATCCAAAATGTTAGGTGATACGACAAAACTAACAGGACTTAAGAAACAAAGAACTCCCACTCATCTGGTTGAACCACTACTAAATATCCCCATGCTGCTGATCACATATAGGGTATATAACATGTGAACACCATTATATATTACAGACTGTGATAGACAATTTGCTCCAGGAAAGTTAGAATGAACTTGTGACTTTAAATGAGCATCATTATTCCACAATACTGTGAATTTCCGGAAATTATGTAATAACTTAATCACAATTAAAAAAAAAAAAAAGAACCTCGGGGAAGGGAGGGAGGGAGGGGATGGTAGGGGGAAAACAATGGAGGGGGTAACAATGTTCAAGAGGAAGTGTACTCATTACCTCACTCAGGTAACTGTAACCCTCTGTATAGTATCTTTACAATAAAAAAAAAAGTGCCTGTAACCGCGGCTCAGGGCTTCCTGTCTGCCTTAGACAGAGAGCCCGTTTGCGCAAAGGCCAAATAAACTCCTCTTGCTTATTGCAGCTGCTGGCTTGGAGTCTTGGTTCTTGGGGTGCCCTCCCGTTGAAGAAAGCATCCCAGGGGGTCTGGGGTCTTTCAGGATCACTTGCCTCCCAGAAAGAAAGTGAAGACTCACGCCTGTAATCCTAGCTACTCAGGAGGCTGGGATCTGAGGATAGCGGTTCAAAGCCAGCCCGGGCAGGAAAGTCCATGAAACTCTTATCTCCAGTAAACCACCAGAAAAACGGAAGTGGCGCTATAGCTCAAGTGGTAGAGCACTAGCCTTGAGCTGAAGAGCTGCGGGACAGCATTCAGGCCCAGAGTTCAAGCCCCACGACCGACAAAAACAAAAAACAACAAAAAAGTGAAGACTCATGAGGCCAATGAGATTGACAGAATGAGGACTTAGATGGTTGCCAGCCACCTCAAAGGCAAGCCTCAGATACGGAGTTTGAGTTCTGATCTCTGACCAATGCATAGGAAAAAAGAAGAGGGGAAAAGGAAGAGAAAGAAAAAGGAGAAAAGGAAGAAAGCAAAACAAAAGAGAAAAAGAAAAAAAAATAACTCCTTGAGGCCTTTCTCTCCATGTTATATCTTGTATATGAATACATACCCTGGAGCATTTCAATGAATCCTCTCTTCAGTACCTTATTTTACTCCCTCTGGTGGTAATAGATTTAGGCACTTAGGACCTCTTCAGCCATACTTGTACTCTGTTTCTGGTTTTACTTTTTTTTTGGTCGGTCATGGGCCTTGAACTCTGGGCCTGAGCCCTGTCCCTCAGCTCTTCAGCTCAAGTCCAGCGCTCTAGTGCTTGAGCCACAGCACCACTTCCAGTTTTCTAGTGGTTTACTGGAGATAAGAATCTCACGGACTTTCCTGCCCGGGCTGGCTTTGAACCGCGATCCTCAGATCTCAGCCTCCTGAGTAGCTAGGATTACAGGCGTGAGCCACCAGCGCACGGCTTTACTACATATTTTTTATGCTGATACTGGGACTTCAAATCAGGCCTCGGCACTGCCCCGAGCTCTCTACACACTCTGCTTTTCCACCCTGTGTGACGCTGACCTCTTACACACCGGTTCCTACACACTCTGGGACTCCTGCTCACTGCTAACCAGGGCCCTTCCCTGCTTCCTTTGGGAACCAAAGACGGGAACCAAGAGCCAACTCAGCGCTACTTGTGTGTGTTCGTTTTCCTGGGGAAAAAGCATTCTTTACAGCGCTGACCTGAGCTCTCCTCGGAGCACGATGAAAGGGATAGCCGTTCCTCTTTCAAAGGTAGCCTGAAGGTGGCTCGGGCCTCGGCGGGCGCGGCCCGGGGCTCCGCCCCGAGCCCGAGGGAGGCGGGAGGAGGCCGGGGACGCCTGGGGCTGACGCCGGCCCCGAGGCGAGGGAAGCGGGAGGAGGCCGGGGACGCCTGGGGCTGACGCCGGCCCCGCGGCGGGAGGAGGCCGGGGACGCCTGGGGCTGACGCCGGCCCCGCGGCCCCGAGGCGGGAGGAGGCCGGGGACGCCTGGGGCTGACGCCGGCCCCGCGGCCCCTGAGGCGGGAGGAGGCCGGGGACGCCTGGGGCTGACACCGGCCCCGAGGCGAGGGAAGCGGGAGGAGGCCGGGGACGCCTGGGGCTGACGCCCGCCCCGCGGCCCCGAGGCGGGAGGAGGCCGGGGACGCCTGGGGCTGACGCCGGCCCCTGAGGCTGGAGGAGGCCGGGGACGCCTGGGGCTGACGCCGGCCCCTGAGGCGGGAGGAGGCCGGGGACGCCTGGGGCTGACGCCGGCCCCTGAGGCGGGAGGAGGCCCGGGACGCCTGGGGCTGACGCCGGCCCCTGAGGCGGGAGGAGGCCCGGGACGCCTGGGGCTGACGCCGGCCCCGAGGCGGGAGGAGGCCCGGGACGCCTGGGGCTGACGCCGGCCCCGCGGCCCCCGAGGCGGGAGGAGGCCCGGGACGCCTGGGGCTGACGCCGGCCCCGAGGCGGGAGAAGGCCCGGGACGCCTGGGGCTGACGCCGGCCCCGCGGCCCCCGAGGCGGGAGGAGGCCGGGGACGCCTGGGGCTGACGCCGGCCCCGCGGCCCCCGAGGCGGGAGGAGGCCGGGGACGCCTGGGGCTGACGCCGGCCCCGCGGCCCCCGAGGCGGGAGGAGGCCGGGGACGCCTGGGGCTGACGCCGGCCCCGAGGCGGGAGGAGGCCGGGGACGCCTGGGGCTGACGCCCGCCCCGCGGCCCCTGAGGCTGGAGGAGGCCGGGGACGCCTGGGGCTGACGCCGGCCCCGAGGCGGGAGGAGGCCGGGGACGCCTGGGGCTGACGCCGGCCCCGAGGCGGGAGGAGGCCGGGGACGCCTGGGGCTGACGCCGGCAGCGGCCCCGAGGCGAGGGAGGCGGGAGGAGGCCGAGGCCGGGCCTCAGACCGGCCCACGGGGCGGGCGGCCAGGCGGCTTCGGAGACAGAAGCAGCCGGGGCCGGGCACGGGGCAGTCACTGCTCACGCCGGGGCCGGCCCGGCCGGGGCCCCGCCGTCCCCACGGGGCCACCGTGAGGCCAGCGCCCGCGGCGTCGGCGGTGGCACTCACCCCGCGGCCCGCTGGGCCCCGCGCGGCTGCTCCCGCCTGGGCTCCAGCGGCAGCCATGTCACAGCGGATCTCCCTGCAGGACGGGGCCGCGGGTGGGGACAGTCGTGGAGAAGACGGCGGGTCCCCACCCGGGGCCGCGGCCTGAAGATCCGGGGACGTAGCCGCCCTGGCGGGAGCGTGACCAACACCGCAGCGTGGGCGGCCATCTTGGCGGCGGCCTGTTGGGGGCGTGGCCAGCGCCCCGCGGCGGCCTGCTGGGGGCGTGGCCAGCGCCCGCGGCGGCCTGTTGGGGCGTGGCCAATGCCCGCGGCGGCCTGTTGGGGGCGTGGCCAGCGCCCGCGGCGGCCTGTTGGGGGCGTGGCCAGTGCTCCGCAGCGGCCTGTTGGGGGCGTGGCCAGCGCCCCGCGGCGGCCTGTTGGGGGCGTGGCCAGCGCCCCGCGGCGGCCTGTTGGGGGCGAGGCCAGCGCCCCGCGGCGGCCTGTTGGGGGCGTGGCCAGCGCCACCGCGGCGGCCATGTTGCAGAAGCCGCAAGCCCGCTCCCACAGGGACGGAAGGAAGCCGGTCCTGAGCCGCAGGGCACTAGGAGGAACCCATTCACACGGGATGGCGCCTTTGAGCCTCCAGGAGCACATGGAGAGGGAAAGGTGCCCGACTTTCCTCAGGGCTACCTTGGGACAGGCACCCTGTCCGCAGCGTCCTCACAGGGCTTGCGTGGTGACAGTGGCGTCGCCGCGGCCCGCAGCACTGGGCTGCGGTGTTTGCATCCGGCCCCGAGGGGTCCGCAGGGGGGGGGGTGCCGGGCTCCGCCCAGGGGTCTCTCCCGCGTGGGGGGGCCGCCCAGGGGTCTCTCCCGCGTGGGGGGGCCGCCCAGGGGTCTCTCCCGCGTGGGGGGGCCGCCCAGGGGTCTCTCCCGCGTGGGGGGGGCCGGGCCCCGCCCAGGGGTCTCTCCCGCGTGGGGGGGCCGCCCAGGGGTCTCTCCCGCGTGGGGGGCCGCCCAGGGGTCTCTCCCGCGTGGGGGGCCGCCCAGGGGTCTCTCCCGCGTGGGGGGCCGCCCAGGGGTCTCTCCCGCGTGGGGGGGGCCGCCCAGGGGTCTCTCCCGCGTGGGGGGGGTCCCGGCGCCGCCCTGGCCCGCCCGGGCAGAAGCGGATTCCCGAACCCCGGTCCTCTCTCGGGACAAGCTGTGTGGAGGTCACCAGCGGCGCCCTCGCCTCGCCTGGCCTCACAGAAGAGGAGGCCCAGCCCGCGGAGTCACGGTTGCAGATGCGCCGGCTCCCGGCGGCTCAGCACGGCGCCAGCATTGGAGGGATGGCGACACCGCACGCGGCCGCTGCGGGCCTCGGCCCGGCACCGGGGCCCCGGCACCGAGATGCTCCCACGGGATGGCCACGCCAGGCTCAAAGCGGTCAGCGCAGAGAGCAGGGCACCCAAAGGTTTTAGCACCCAGTGGGTTCCTGCCATTCTGGCGCTTGGGTAGAAGCGAAGATGGTGATGTATACAAGCGCTCCACGGTGCCACCATGTGGTCAGACTAGGCCTGGGCCACAAGTTCTGACGAGGTGGCAAGCCATGGCCACACAAGGGTAAGCAGAGAGAAATGAGCCCCAGGCCTCCTGGAGGGCAGTGACCAGGCAGAAGCAGCATCACCCTGTCGGCTATGGCAGTAAGGGCGGTGCCAACAGACCCCGGGCCCCAAGGCCCACCTCTCCCTCAGCAATGCCCTTCGCTCCAGACACGGTCGACGGGAGATAGCCAACCGATCCTCACAGGGTCCTGAGCAAGAGCGGGGAGCTGTGGGGTCAAAGACAGGATCTTAGCCAGGCAGGAACCTGAGCTAACGGATGGAGGTGTCCAAGCCACACCACCAGATGGGCAGTACAAGCCAAGTTCATGTCCTGTACTGTATCATCACTCCAGAACTCAACCCACTCATTTACACTCTGTGAAACAAGGATGTGAAGGCAGCATGGAAGAGGATCCTACAACCCCAGGGTGGGAGGAAGGCTTTCAAAGACAGATGATCTGCCTGTGTTCTGAAACTATCACCCGCACATGTAACAGCCCCAAACACACTTCAGTTCAGGCTGGCAGGGCTACTTTTCCAAATTGAGTGCCCATTAGCATCTAAGTTAACCACCGTGATAACTAGAGAAATATTTCTTCGAGAACATTCTATTAGAGTTCCAATAGAGCCATTGTGGTTTTATCTGAACTCTTCTCAAATGTCTTACTCTCACAGACACAATTCAAGCGTGGTAGGCCCCATCACTTACAGGGCATGAGGATAGAAATTAAGCATTATTAAGATGTCAGGAAATAGTACTAAATATTATTGATAAACTTTTAAGTACTCTTTTGAAGTTTTTTTTTTCTTTAACCTTATAATTGACCCTTCTTCAGGACTATAGCTGCCTTGAGCTAAGAACTGATCAGGCAGCCAGATTTTCCTTATATCAACATGACCTCATCCCCAGAAGACAGGGCCCTCAGCATATAGCATGTTCTGTACTTCAGTAGAAGACCTATGGTTGCTGAAAACACAATCTTATATTTGTCTAACAGACTCTACCCTCATTGGTGCAAACTTGAGAAGACCATTGAGACTGGTAAAGATGTCCTTGTCCCTTCCCCCTTCTGACCATACAAGCAGTCTGGCTCAGTTCACTTTGTGAGCAACTAGGAAATATCCTACTTGCTAAGTTGCTGATGTTACAACATCTGGTCCCAGGCCAAATTGATGTTGTAACTTCAGGTCCCAGTAAAGACATTCTCTCAACTTATCTTGCACACCGTTCTCATGTGGTACAATAAAAAAAAAAAGGAAAAGAAAAGCCATGATTGGAAAGGGCATTAGCAAAACTGACCAGAATATCAAGGGCAGACACTGGCTGGCATCAGAGCATACTGGTATATAGTAGAGGTACCCACTGAGGGCAGTTGTCAGAATCAACTGGAGAAAGAGTGTTCCTGTGAACCTCATTCCACCAACCTAGCTGTCAAAAGCCTAGGACTGATTGCCACTGCCTACTGTCATCTTCTGGGATGCCTACATATACAGAATAACAGCTTCTCCCCACCTACCAACTGTTTCCATCTGGATAGAGCAAAAGAACACAAGTCAGCTGGTTTCTAACAAGAGGAGCAGCACAGTCCATATGTCTATGGGATGCTGGAGAACATTATTCCTTCAAGTCTTACCCAGGGACCATCCAGTCATTGCTGTTGTAATACATTAAAAAAATCAGGTTCTAGTGTTATTATCATTTTTAGATTTCACATATGAGTGAAAACATGCATATTTGTCTCTCTGGATTTGATTTATCTTGATCAAAATTATTTCCTGTTGGGCACCTGTGGCTCATGCCTTTATGGGCATGAGATCTTAGTATCACAGTTCAAAGTTTGCCCAAGAATCTGCAATGAACCAGTAAAAAAGCTAAACTGGAAGCATTACTATGTTGTAGAACACCAGCTTATTTAAAAAAAAAGACACCAAGCAAAAGTGCAAGGCTCGGAGTAACATTCCCAGTATTTCAATATCACCACACACACACACACACTATAATCACATTTCATTTTCCTGCAAACAACATAATTTCATTATTATGAATTAATAATATCCCATAGAATGTGTAAATACTACATTATTTATCTGCTTTCATATTTAGCCTGAGATTCTGTAGCTGGGTTAGGTGATAAGTGCTTCTATAAAAGTGGATGTGCAGGTGCTCTATCTCTATACACTTATGGGTCATCTTATACATGTTTATTTACTATATCAGGTAGTTCCATTTCCTCATCTCATTTTTTTATTATAAAGCCTATACACAGAGGGATTATATTACGTAAGTCAGGTAATAAGTGCATTTCTTTTTGAACAGTGTCACCACTTCTCTGGCTCTCTCCCAGTTTTTCCTTCCTATCCCCAATTTTTTGTCTATATTTGACCAATTTTTATAAAAGTGTGTTTTTATTAATGTCTCTAAAAGTTGAAATCCATATAAAAACACAGATTACTCCAATATGTTGACAAAATACCTTATTACTAGGTGAGTTTAGAAATACAGGTATTATATGTTGCAGAGCACCTGAAAGTTAGGGACCTGGACTTGTCACTAATCGGTAAACAATATTTTCAAGTACTTAGCATTTTGTAACTATTAATACATAATCATTTGATAATTAAAACTTAAAATTGTTATTTAAATATGAGCAGATAAGAGCACTTCATACTATTGTTTGAAACAGTAAAACTGATTTTTTAAAAAGTTAATAGAAGTGTATTTTTGCATTAAAATAGATGAGATCAATGACTTAAAACTAGTTTCATAATGATTTTCAGAACACATCATTTGATCATTTTGCTGTGTACTAGGTTTCTTAAAAAGAACATTCATGCTACTGAACAACGCCTGAGTCTTAAAATCTTATGTAGGTTCAAGTAGTGCCAAATGCTTAGGAACTGGGAAAAATATGTACATATCTCTAGTGTGCATTTTTGATGTAAAGAAGATGCTCTTAGGAACTTTAGGTCCAGTAACTTTATGAGTAGTTGCAAACAATTACTTTGAAATTACTGAGAAATTGAACCCAGGGCTTCATGCATGCTAGGCAAAAGCACTCTACCACTAAACCATATTCTCAGCCCTCATTCTACCTTTTAGTGTGCACTGTTCTTGATTATGAATGAATATACTTAAATCTAATATCTTGTTCTTAAATGTTTTCTGTGATGATGTCAAGTATTGTTGCAGTCCCTCTCTGAGAGCCTCTTGGAAAGCCCCACATCATGGCGACATTCCAGTTACATTCATTTCATGCTTCAGAGAACTTGAGAGATGAACTATTCACTATGTTTCTGAATAGTCAGTTGTCTGTCATATCTTTTCCACATGGCGATTTGAAAATAATCATTCAAACCCAGCCCAGGGGCTGGGATGTAGCTCAGTGGCAAAGCGCTTGCCTAGCAAGTGCAACGTCCTGGGTTCGATCCCCAGTACCAAAAAAGAAAAGACAAAAAAAAATACAGTTAAAAGAAAAAAAAAACCCAGCCTAGGCTCAAAGGTCTATGAGAATTATGTTCCATACCAGCAAAAGTCTGTGAGAATTATCTCCCATTAACCAGCAAAAGCCTATGAGAATTATCTCCCATTAACCAGAAAGCCTATGAGAATTATCTCCCATTAACCAGCAAAAGCCTATGAGAATTATCTCCCATTAACCAGCAAAAGTCTATGAGAATTATCTCCCATTAACCAGAAAGCCTATGAGAATTAACATCTCCCATTAACCAGCAAAAGCCTACGCAACTTATCATCTCCCATTAACCAGCAAAAGCCTATGAGAATTATCATCTCCCATTAACCAGCAAAAGCCTATGAGAATTATCTCCCATTAACCAGCAAAAGTCTATGAGAATTATCATCTCCCATTAACCAGCAAAAGCCTATGAGAATTATCTCCCATTAACCAGCAAAAGCCTATGAGAATTATCATCTCCCATTAACCAGCAAAAGCCTATGAGAATTATCTCCCATTAACCAGCAAAAGCCTATGAGAATTATCATCTCCCATTAACCAGCAAAAGCCTATGAGAATTATCTCCCATTAACCAGCAAAAGTCTATGAGAATTATCATCTCCCATTAACCAGCCAGAGCCTATGAGAATTATCTCCCATTAACCAGCAAAAGTCTATGAGAATTATAATCTCCCATTAACCAGCAAAATCTTATGAGAATTATCTCCCATTAACCAGCAAAAGCCCAGAAGTGAAGTGTAAGTCAAGTAGGCGAGCTCCAACCTCTACCAAAAAGGCTAAGCAAGAGGAAGAGGCCATGTGTTCAAGCAACAGAACTAGAAGAAGAAAAAACGTAGGAGCACAGACAGTCATACCAGAATGTATTTTAGAGAGGCATGCATCTGTTGGCCTACATTTTTTTTTTAGCAGTTGTGTGGTCTGAACTCTGGGCCTGGGTGCTGTCCCTCAGCTCTTCAGCTCAAGGCTAGCACTCTACCACTTGAGCCTCACAGCCACTTCCAGCCTTTTCTGTTTATGTGATGGTGAGGGATTGAACCCAGGGCTTCATGCATGGGAGGCAAGCACTCTACTGCTAAGCCACCTTGACATTCTTTTTTTTAAAGAAAACTTGACAGAGCTTTTTTGAGTAAACAAGCAGGCAAAGAGACAAACAGACAAAGAGAATACAGACAAGCAGAAGGGCAGGGCACACTCAGGCAGAGTGTGGGTGCTCTCAGAGGGAGATGGAGAGAGAGACACCTTGGCCTACATTCTTAATATTCTTACCTACATTCTTAACTAATCATATACTTACTTGACTGGACTGCTATGACCTGCCCTTGTGCTGCGTCACCTCAGAGGGTCAATAATTAGAGGGCATCGAATTATTTGTTATTCTACAAAAACAGATGTAGTAAGTGGCACTGTAGCACATTTTCTTCC